TTCTTCTCTCGGACCGACCGCTCGCCCACGTCGTGCGAAGGTTAATGGTTAGATGCTCTTATGCAATTTGAGTTAATAATTAAGAGTCTTCAAGAACAAAGATGTCAAAATATAAATCAAGCGTGGCAACAATTGCCGTCTTTGTAACGTGAGAAGATATAGTGAAACGATAAACATCGTCCCGTTGTGTTTAAATCCGGAAATGCAGCAGAGTCTAACAATGCCGAATAAGATAAAGAAAATGGCTGCTACTACACAATTGTTACAAAGAAAACACGAATAAAAATACTATGAAGAAAAAAAAACACGAAAAAAAATGGCAATGTTCCGTAAAAAAAGAAATAAATAGCAATGCGTCTGCTTTCGCTCGCAAATCTCCCAATTGTAAAGGCACAGACGGCGAGCTTTGTCACGTCGTTTTGCGCCCGCTTTCGTATGCGATGAGGCAAGGTTGTACAGTTAGGTAATAACTACGAATGCATGCCTTATCCTGGCGGTGAGTACTTAATGTAAATGATTTTGCCAAGTTTCACGGGACAAAGGGCGTAGTTTCCAAACTCACACGCCGACAACAGCCGCGCGGAAGTTTCTCTGAATTTTAATGAAAAATGAAACGGGTATCGCACGCGCTGGCCGTATTTGCGTTATGGATGCTGGTGGCGACGGTAGTGTTGGAGGCCGCGATAGTGATGGCGGTATAACGATGTGATGCAGGTAGCGGGGAAACGCGCAGGAAACAAACACGGTTCTAGTTCGGTAATTGTTTGAGATTATCGCGCATTACTATCAATTAGCATCTGCGCATCGTGTACACGTTATTCGTAATGTAATATCTCATAGGAAAAAGGAGGATGATGCCTCTTTTATGGAATGCAGGGCCGACGTTTGCGTCGGGATCGCAACGCACGCCGCACGTGCCACACTACGTATTCTCCCGAGATTTTATTTCGTACATTCGCGGGGATTCGGATCCCCGCAACATACGGAAGGGTCTTTTACAAGAGTGCTAGCAGGATGGAATAAAATCTCGTGGAATATTCGGCGCATGCGGTATTCACGAATTTTCAGGAATAAATTTTACGAGGACTTATATTTGACTGCGAAACAATTAGCGCTATTGCATTGCGTTCCACATAGTTTTCAGTTTCCACAAAATTTTTCTTTTCTTTTGCACATGCATGTGTGTTTACAATAATAGCTGTTATGCTTTAAATAGTAATTTTATATTGTTTTTTTACTTCCAAACATAGCGGCTCAAAAAAATTAAATTTTCCAGAAAAAGAAAAAAAATTATTTTTCAACTTAACAGAAAATTATAGATTAATCAAACAATATCAACAAAAAGAACGTTACAATCTTAGAAACATGATCAAATATCATTTTTCTCACTTTCGTTTCATAACTCTTAAAAAATTCTTTAATTGTAACGATTTTCCTACAAAATAACAAATCCGAAATAATTCATCAAAAGTAACGAAATATCAAAATTTATATTTATCTGATCAATTAAAAGAATTAAATTCAAAATAAAATAATTTCTTCTTCAAACTTTGATCACATAAACTGTCTTAACTTTAAATGTTTTCTGTAGAAGATTCCGTTTTATTTATAAAAATGACACAACTGAAAATGTTTTCAATTCTTGTAGAAGATATTATTACGATCTCTTTGAAAACTTTAAAAATGGTACAAGTGCTATTTGGCGGACTGTGAAGTAGAATTAGTTTACAACATCAAGTGAAAATGGACTGAGAAATGTTCAACACAAATAAGTGAAGAAGGTTATATTTGGTCAAAGCAGTAGATCTTAATGTCTAATAATATTCTTTGTGAGAATTTTTACAGTTCAAACAAACTGCTTGCCGATTATTTGTCGCCCGCACGAAAGGGAGATTGAAGTTCGAATCTCTCTCGGTGACATTTTTCTCAATAAGTTATTTACAGTGGTTTAAAGATACTTATCAGTATCAGTAATATTATTGCTTGTCAATTTAATTTGTGATATTACGCACTCCAGCTTCGTTCTAAGATTGTATTTCAAAACCAACAAATATATATATATATATATATAATCGGCGCGCAGTTTGTTCGAACTATAAAAATTTACTAGGCACTAAGGCTGCGTTCCGTTTCACGCATGATGCATCTTTTATCCTTGTTATTCACCGAATATTAAACAAGGATAATGCTGAATTATGTACATCATGCGTGAAACGGAACGCAGCCTAAGACTCGCCTTAACAGAGTATAGTCCTTTTCACTCACATTTATGTTTCAGTTAGTTTACTTTTGACGATTGATAGAATAATCTTTACCTAACTCATTCATGATAATAACTTGAAAATTACATTTTTCTATTGGTTGTCATTTTTGAAAGGGAATATTAAGAATATCTATTTCAGAGGATATAATAATAAAAAGTACACTCTACGTATATGGTACTTGTTTTAAGTTTGTATAACAACAAAACATTTTATATAATGTTGTAAAACGTTGTCAAATAACATATGAGAGGATGCTTACACGCGTGCGTAACAACTGTATAACGTGTGCAATCATAACAAGACTCGGAAATCGACCGACGCGCATGCATAAATTCAGTTTGCGTAAAAGGAACGTAAATCGTTTTAAAGCGCGCAATTTAACAGTCAGTTTATACGAGCGAGGTATGTTTCAAAGGCAGACGTACGACCACCCCGTTTGTCCTCGGTTAAATCGCGTTCGCAATCAGTCGCCGCAATCGTCGCGATCGACGACGAATTATGGTCGCACCGGCCCTGCGACATGAAACCCGGAGGGTGGCGGCAATTACACCCCGCAGGGCCGCACTAGCTCGAGGATACATCTGCCCCCTCTTTCCCCTATGTGGCCGACGAAATTATGTGTGTAATAGATGCGCACATGCTCGCAACTATCGTGACAAAACAATGAATTTCGATGAAAGAATTACGGGAATTGTCTCGTATTTAACCCTTTAACCCGGAAACAGTCACCTATAAGTCTTTTTGCATAAACGACTACTTGGAGTGATTTTACATCTCAATTAAAAACACTATTATTATTTGTACATTGTATATTATTGATTGTTCGACAATTTATTATAGTATTTGAGATCATTACATTTTATGGAAAGATGATTTTGCTGAAATCTAATTTAGATAGATACTGTTCTTGAAATAATTTTATCAAACTATCAAAATAATATAATTATATGCTTAAGCACGATGAACAATGTAAAAAGTTTTGACATTCTATCTTAAGCATAATTGCTTTGATCGTTCAACAAAATTATTTTTCAGATATGTATCTAGCTAAATTTTTAAATATTTCAGCAAAACCTTCTATATACAGATTTACTCAATATTTTTTAAAACAGTAAGGAAAGGAATAAAAACAATAGATATATGAATTCTCGATCAATAAAGAGAATTATTATGATTGAACTTCGTTTTCTCGCTGCTGAGGTGTAAAAATCATCTCAGCTGATTATTTTCAGGTTAAATGGAGAAATGAATGCAGTATGCATTTTGCTGGTTTGTTAAAGTATTTAAAAATTTAGTTAGAAAACAAATTTTAAAATAATTTTGTTGGATTATCAAAGTAATTATGTAGGACGCTTAAACTAGAATGTCAGAACTTTTTACAGTATTGTTTATCATTCCTGGACATACTACGTAATTATTTTGATGATCCAATAAAATTATTTTCAGAACTGTATCTACTTAAATTTTTAAATATTTTAGCAAAATCATTTCTTTTGTATTGATATATAATGATCTCAAATACTAATAAATTGTAGTATAAATTGTAGTAAATTGATTGATGTAATCAATCAATAATATATACATTACTAATAATAATTATTATTAAAAATTAAAATTTTAAATTAAAATTTTAAATTATAATTAAAAATAGTAATTTTTCAATAGTAGATTTATCAAAATCAGTTTAAAAAAAGCTATTTGCATATGTTGGTTTGTATTTAAAAAAAGTATTTCGTGGCATTCAAGAAATATTATAATTAAAGAATTTATTTAAAAATATTCATCTTTATGTGAAAATATTTGAATTTTCAATGTCATATTCGAAAGATCATTTCTTTCGTCGATAATCGAGTCGATAACGTTTTCAATGTAATTGTTATTTTTAAAAATTGTATTGTTGCTACCATGTTATTTCTAATTGTTTTCAACGTAAAAAAATTCATGCGGAATAAAAAAGAAAGACTACGCTACCGTATGAATTCCATCCTTGTGCAAATATCCGCATCAAATATTGTATCGAACGTGAGAAAACATGATAGCACGCCGATTCCAATCTAATGTTTCACGCCATTTATTGGATAACTGAGAATCGTTCATTTAACCGAGACACGATAGCAAGATTCGCTTCCATCATGTCCGTTTGAATATAATCGTTAAGTTGTACAATTAATCACTTCGCGAGAGAGAAATGCGAGAAAATACAGGAAATGGCGCGAAGAGAACTTTCGTTACTCTCATTCATCATCACAATTGATTATTACACTCGCTCCTTTGTTTTCAGAACGTTCTCTTCGCAACGGCTAATTGTCTTTATAATTCTCGTATACCCCTTTGAAGTCGGAACAATATACTATATTTGATATGGCAAGTGTAGAGAAAATGAAAATGCATATTACGAACAACTAAAAAAGATTCCAATTTACAATACTTATTTTACAGCAATTAAGTGTATATATATTTAAACACAGATAATTCCAAATGGGTAAATAATAAAAAAAAAGTCTACGCTGATAACTTCTTGAAAATAATAATTAATATGTATGCAAGAGAAAATCGTTGATGCAGTCCGATGATTAATGCAAAATTGTAAAACATCACAGTAAAAATACAGAATTCTGGTATGAATTATTATTTTCAAATATCCTTGAGATTATCTCCGTTTTAAGAAAGACGTCGAAAATATAGCAAATTCTTGCGCAAATTTCGAACTGAAAGCGTTAGTATCCAGGCACTTACCTTGTCACTGTAAATTACGCAGCAGGAGATTTGCAACGCAGATTCGCAACGCAGCGTCGACGCCGGGCCTACAGCAGTCTCCGGTCTTGGCCTGACCTCGTTTCTTGGAGAGTCCATCGTTCATCTCATCTCACTTCACTTCACTCACTCGCGACGCGAGAACATTTTGAGCAGTCCATTCACGTATCGAAATAGCGTACGAAATACTTATTCTCGCGGTTTGTTTCTACGGCTAAGACTACGGTTACAGTGGATGTGTATTCTGATGAACTTTTGTTCTGACGAATACATTAGAACAAACAAGCAAAAGCGTTTTCATCAGATGTCGCATGAACAAGTTTGTCGTTCGAACGAGTTTGTTTCTTCGTCCGCATTCGTGCGACTGTTGAAATGACTGTTGAAAGACTATCAGTTTAGTGTTTGCAAAAATTAGTCTGTGAGATATGAATGAAAAATACTTATCATAAGAGATCTTGCAAAAAGATTAATCAAAAAAGTAGTATTTTCCATTTCTTTCTCCTGGAACAAGCAATTTATTAATGTATTCAGTTCTTCCACTCACAAGTAAAATTTTTTATAATAGACTTTCCAAGTGCGAATTATCGATATTATCCATCTTGTGTGATTGCAACTAACTCTGAAAATTTCGAATTTTGAGATTACAACAAGATTATATATTACTTCGTCAGAATACATTTACAATAAGCACTTCTTTTTAATGAATTCGTCAGAACAAAAGAGTGCTTTCCAATTGTTCAACACATCTTGACACAAAGTATTATATACTTGTACACAAGTATTATATACCAACCGAGGTAAACCCAGACAACATGCGTGTTTTAAAAAACAACATGAAGACCTCATATAACGCCGGTTATTACCAGCAATATTACAGCAACATTGCAAATGTTGAAGCAATATTACTGCAGACTTCTTGCTGTACGAGCGTTTTTTAGAACATACGCATCTAAAAAATATCTAAAAGACATTATATAAACACATTTTCTAGATATGCGTGTGCCTGCGCGCGCGCGCAGTGTGTGTGTGTGTGTGTGTGGGAAGTACAGCGTTGTGCGCGACTCAATTAGAACAAAGTGTGTACTGATGTGTATCAGATAAAATTAGGTTTATTTTTCAATGCCATGCCTATGTATTTTAGTATTTTATAATATTTTTTAAATCAGTGATGATGGAAACTGAGTTTCCATTTCTCTCGCGTTTTCATTTATAACAGTCGCGGTTATTAATAAATCACTAAAAAACATACTTACACAGTCAACAATTACAACTAGTTGCTTTCGGGCTGAGGATGGATGTAGGGTGTCGATAATTACGGCAATTGGAACGCAACTTGTGTACGAAAGTGTCTAGGAATATTACAATTGGAAAGCGCCCACCAAAAGTTCATTCATTGTAACCGTAGACTAATCCCGCACGCGGCTCGCGATACGTTCCGAGAATCCGAGGTGTTTACATTGCGACCGTTGCGACATACGCGCGGCGGGCCAATTTTCTAACGGTCGTGTCGTCTGTTTATCTATTCGCCCCGAGAATGGATAATGCAAACGAACGATCGCAAACGCCGCCCCTCAATTGACACGTTACAACGCGGCGCGTCGCCCAACAGTCCATCCAATCGCACTCTCCCCGATTATATTAGGCACGCGACGCGCCACGGACGCGGAAATAACGATGCGGGGGTGGAGAGGAGAGGGGGGAGGGGAGCGAGCAGTCATTACTTACGCGGAAGTTTTGACGCGAGCGCGTCGAGTAATACTGTGCGTGGTATTAATCAACGGTTCCCTGCTCGGATGATTAGCACGCCAAGGTAATATCTCATTCGGCCCTCCTGATATTCGCACGCGCGCCATTTTGAACGATTATCGAAACAAAAGGATTCTTCACTCGCGAAAGCGGAGCGAAGTCGTTCCGACGCTCGACGCGACACATACCACGCTCGCAATCAGAAATATCATTCTGTTGCTAAAAAGTGAACACTCAATTTACTCTCCTCCTTCGGATTCATCGAAGTGGATGCAGGTAAATACGAAACGACCGAGTTCGAAACTGATCTATCTGACGTTGGCCGCGAAAGAAAAGTGTCATGGCGGTCGCATGAAGCCCGTTCTACAAACGCGGGTCGCGAGCTTGTTGCGTCAGCCAATCCCGAAGCGGCGCTTTTCAAATTGACGCATCGGATTGGTTGACGCGTCTCGCGTTCCGCGTCTTACATAGATCGGTCTTAACGCGCGATCGTTGCGCGTTTGTTCAGATCGTTGCGCGTTTGTTCAGTTCGTCGCTCGCGAGTTCGAATGGCGGATGGATTGTTCGCTACGATGAAAAATGTCGCGAATTTACGTGTACGCTATAAAAAGTGTAGTGTTTAAAATGTTTACCTTTAAAACATCTTTGCAAAACAAACAAATTTAATAATAAAAGATATTTTAATTTTAAACGCTTACTGTTTTAAATTCAAACACACATAGTGTTTTGTTTATTGAAAAAGTTTGAAATTAAAACATCTTTAAGTTTTTACAAAATGGAGACAAGATGGAGACTGAAAACATTTTAATATCTTAAAATTAAACATTTCTTTTTTTAGCGTATATAGTGTCTATCCGTCTTGTGTGTATCCGTTGAATACGAATAGCGTTTGGGAACTGTCGTTAACTACGAGATCGTGCTTGAAGACAAATAGGCCGGACGTTCTCAAAATAAAAACTGACCACGAATACCGCCGTTGGTTCGCTCGGTGATCGAAGACCGCCACGAGCAATCGGCCCATCGGATAACGCGGATCTCGCGGTGAGTGAAATTCGATCGTTTTGCACGTTTCGAATTCGTATTTTATCATAACGCTCTTTCGGCGCTCGTTATCGAATCAGCGAATCGCGCGAAATTAGTCGCGTTATCAGCGCCGAGCGCGAACGGGTCGCGTCGGGATACGAGATCGAGATTGTAAGTAAAGTCAAGTGTTACTTGTTCTCGGAAACGTGTACGACTTCGCTCTTCCTCATACACGGGAGAAGAGCCGTGTAACCGCGTATACTCCGTATATACCTCTCCCCTCCTCCTTTCCCCTTCAGAATAGCTCGATCCGTGCGGCCCTGGGACCACGACACCGCCTATCGCGTGAGGCACAGTACACGCGCGCGTAGTCGTCGCCTTTGTGTATATATCGCGCCTTCCTACTCGCACCCGCGCCTTGCCGCTTCCTCTTTCTCGCTCGTGCTCCGAGCACTCCCACATACACACGTATACGCGCACACGCTCTTTCTCTTTCTCCCCCACCACCAGTGCACGGCTGCCGTAACGCCGCGAGCCGTTGACTCGACGTAGTACCATCGGTGTCGCGACGCGGCGCTCTCAGTCGTGCTCCTGCCGTGGCGCCATCACGTCGTTCGGTCGAGTTCGTGCGGCGCGGATCTAGCAGTTCGCTCTCCGCAGCTCACCGTGTTACTTCGAGGTGGACGAAACGCCTTCGTCTTTCGTGCGTCGCGTGTGTATGTACCAGAGCGGCGTGCTCCTTTCGATCGTGAGATCTGACTCGCGTACTCGCGTAAATCGGCGCGCCTCACGCGAGCGTGCCGGATAGCGGAGTGTAGAGAGTAGAGGAGAAACAGTGACGCCCCGCCGAAAGTGCTCCGAAATTTACTCCGAGAGTCTCCGTCCCGCGAGTAGACGACCTGACGACGTAAACCCGTACACGGCGCGCGCGGCCAAACTCAAAGCGGACGAGCGCGCGACACATGAGGAGGAGGCGAACTCGCGGCGCGAGTTCGGACGAAGAGGAGAAGCAGCCAGCGGCCACCAGCCTCCTACGGGGAATGCAGCTTCGGGATCGTCGTCTGCGGCCGCGGACGGCCGCCACGCTTCGAGAGACATGACGCGATGATCGTCGAGGCACCCGGTGCATCCGCCCTGATCGCCGCACCACCACGCCGTCGACGTCGACGTCGCCGCCGCTCGCGTCCTCTCCTCTCTCTCTCTCTCCTTCTCTCTCTATCTCTCTTTTCTCTCTCTCTCTCTCTCGTTCTCTCGCGCCCGTGTGTGTACGTGCACCGCCCGTAGCAGCGGTCCCCGCAGAGTGTGACGGATAAGTTTCTCGTCGTGAAAACGCGCCAGCCAAACGGGAATCATGGGTGATGTGCACGGGCTTCTTCTAGTTAGTGACTTCAACCAGGAGGATACCGCCTGGGACGACGTCGAGACATCGGCAGCCGTTGGCGTGCTCCGCGGGGTGAGTCTCTCTTTCTCTATACCGTTTTTAAATTACGATAATTCCATCTTGGATCAAAGAACGAGCAGCTGCATTTCTTCCCCGCGCGAAGAATTCGAAGGACGCGCCCCTTCGCGCGAGCGTTTCTTTTGTTTTTGTTCCACGTATGCACGTCAGATGGTCTCGTGTGAAATGTTTACGTTGCAACCCGACACTTTTTACGCAGAACTCTCGTTAACACGAGAATTACCCGCTCTTTTCCTATTCATCCGAGAGCGAATGTGGATTGTTATTTTATGCGATTACTCTTTCTCTTCGTAACATTTGATTTTATGTTAAGAAATTTCTGTGGAGATACGTATCATATCGCGCGTGTACATACATACCAGACATATACCTCTATTTTGAATAAAATCTTTGAAGGAAAGCGCGTTCTTCCTTTATGACGTTTGGTTTTATATTAGAAAATTTCTATGGAAAAATATATCATACGTGCGTAATCTTTATTTTGAATGAAAGAAACAATATAACAAATTACTTTGTAGGAACAGTATATCAAATTACTGCTCGTCGATATGATTTTGAGAGATTCGATGAAAAGAGATGGCAACGATAATATCATTAATGACAACAATATACAGTGGATTTATTTATTACTTATACAGTGCTCTATATTAATTTATTTGAGTTTCGAATATTATTGATCGCGTACAACGAATACAACGTTTTCTGTAAACAATTAAATACGAACAGCTAATGACAATTATCTACGGTGATAGCGTTTGTAAATTGAATGTTTTCCATTTCTTCTTTGCGCGATGTTTTTATTCCAATTGAATGTACAACAACATTATTCAATTATTTTACTTGATTAACTATATAGAGGTTGTTTGTGAAC